CAGGTGCTCCTCCAATACCCTCCAAAAGTAATTATCTGATAGAAGTGTTAATGTGACTTTTCTCCTACTCAGCTTTTCAAAATTAATATCCTTGGTGCAATTCTACCACCCACTCAGAATTTTTGGACTTTGATACCCCTCCCATGTGAATGACAGGAGAAGACTTCCTCTACCAGACCATGCATGTCTTCAAGGCTAGGAGGCCTGAGCAGTGATTTTTGTTCAGTCACATCTAAAAATGTGGTAAAGAAAGGAGAAACCATTTTAAAATATTTTAGATTAGCAAGTAGGAAGTGCTAGTTGCTTTAATTTAACAGCAAAAACAGGAACATAAATGGCAGCCAGATCTACCTATAAGGTATCAAGGTAATTCTGCTGGGATCAGATGGAGCCAGTGAAGCTAAAAAGATTTTTGGCACACACAGTCCCCTCATATATATTTGCCCATTTCTAGTTAACATCAATTTCTGCTGGGATTGGAGTAGTCTGGAGGGAAAATATTTGAAAACAAGGGCTAGGGGTCTTTTCTAACTCTGAGTTTACAATCAGCAAATAGTTAGCTATGCTTTATAGTTAGTTTTTGTAGAGCCATAAAAGATTCTAACACATCCATTGGCCTTTGTTTGTTTGTTTGTTTTTTTGGGGTTGGGGTTTTTTGGTTGGTTGGTTGTTTTCTTTACTTCTGTGTTCAAATGTTCATGTTTCTGAGCCAAAAGACTAAGCAGTATTGAGGTTTTTCAGCATGAAGGAACAAAACCAAAACTGAGATTCCAAAATACTTCTGACTTCTGAGTGGATAAAGTACAGTCATGAAAACACCAGTTCAGCCTGGTTTCTGTGTCATATTTAGACCTGGCGGGGTTTGGTTTCCTGTTCTGTTTTTAATTTACATCTGTCCAAAGCAGAAGGTTTGTGATATCTACAATTGCATAAGGTGGTTCTTCATGAGTCTAGAAAAGCTTTCTAAACTTTGATCCTTTGGAATGCAAAGACTGACTCACACTGAAGATCAAACAGGCCTCAAAATGTAAACATTGATCTAAAAAAAATTCTGATGCAGATATCATTTCATGAGCTGTACTACTCAGTAAAAAACAAGAACTCAAACTGCTTGTAGAAAAATATCATCACCTTTATAGCTATACAATTACCTGTCTCAGCCCATGACTGTCTAATTTTCCTGCTGTAGACATGGAGTCACCATTGAAGCAGGGATGTGAATTCATTTTTCTCTGTGTCCCCGGTGAGTGTCATAGTGACCAGGCATTATAATCAGTTTTATTTTTTCCAATTAATATTTTTATTTATATGGAGTAAAAGTTCCAGCAGATTGAAACAAACTCCATAGCCTGGTGGAAAAGCTAGAGTATCTTATGTTTTCAGCCTCCGCTCACTGAAGACTCTCCTAGATCTCACCTATGCTAAATGTCTACTAAGATGGTCACTGTTGGCTAACAGGTTTGTATTAGATGGAAACTGGAGTCTTGCTTTTTATTTTGAACTTTGAAAGAGTTCTACTGAATTCATAACCCTTGTGAAGGTTTCATATGAAATAAATGAGGGTTTTTTAATAAGAATTTCCCTTGCAGAACAATTCTTGATCAACTCTAATATGTTCACGATGAGCCTTACGTTTCTAGTCTCTTTTAAGGTCCATGACTAAATTAATTTCTAGGAAAGGATGGAGAATGATGACATTTTGTTGTTGAGTGGATAATTTATATGATACAGGAATATAACCTTGGATTATCAAATGCATCAGCACAAATACACCAATAACTTTGAACTGATGAAGGTGTTGGCTTGGAAAATTTTGTCCTCAACTACCTGCAGAGCACAATTGGAAAGATAAGTAAATCCAAGGTTTTAGAAGACTATAGGAAGAGAAATACTAGTCACGAACAGCTGGTAATATTTTTCTGCTTTGACCCTTCTCCTTGCATTCAAGTAGATCTACCACAAATTTGATCCACTGTATAGGGGCAGCTTAGGAAACTATTGGAAGGAAAGCCTTTTTCCCCTCACACATTAACCAGTATTTTTCTCACAGGGAGTATACAGTCCACTGTTTCAGCTTCAAGACTGTGCTGACATTAAAAAAACAATCAGGAGAAACCAGCTGCCTAACATGTGCTGATGCTTTTTGTGAGCCAAAGAGATCTGAAAGTATCAGTGCAAAGAAGAAAATACACGTGTTGAATTGGCCATGGGCATGCATCAGTCAAGAGCTACATATGTATTACCAGATAGGGAAGCAATTTCTTTGAGTTTCTGGGGTCAGGCATGTTTCTCAGGTTCATCCTGATTTCACATCAGGGCATAAGCTAGCCACCACCTTCCCTTGCAGCTCCATTGCCACATAAAACAACCCAGGTGCATGAGTGGGAGCAGCTTTGGCTACTAGAGCTAGCTTCCCTGTCTGTGGCCAGAACACTAAGATTTGAGGACAGTCAAAATGACCGCAGTCCTTGTTTTTTGGCTGGAGATGAATACAAGAAATCCGATCCAGAAATCCTTAATTCGTACAGTAAGGATACACTGATAGAGCTGTGGTAGACCCACTTTGCAAGCTCCAGGGTGTCTTTTCTGGAAAACCCCTGCAGCAATGTGTTTTGCTTGTTATGTTTTACTGAGGGACTGACATGGATTTCTCTCCCTTCTCTAGATACTTTTCACAAATTTTATACCAATTTTAAGGGACACATGAGTTTTAGAAATGTAGGGAGTGTGGCATTTTGAAAGGAAGACTATTCATTGTCACAGACTGGCTAAGAAGCTGAACACATTTTCCATTAGTTAGCTTGCCTTCAGACCTGGGGCCATGTTAATGATTGTATTCAGCTAAGAAATGTCAGGTCAGCCTTAGGTGGTGCTCACAGATATTACAGTCAGGGTATCTCCATCACAGATGTGGTGAAGGGAGCATGTGCATACACATTGCTATAGATGTTGAGAAAATAAGGGAGGGAAACTTGTTCATTTAATTGTCACAGTTAGCCACCTTCCCCAGCAAAAGGAACTTCTTTGACCACCTTAACAGAGGATGTGCTCTTCTGTATGTGATACCAGAAAGGACATTCTTGTGGAAAAAATTTCTATCAAGACTTTAATAGCAATCCCTTTTCTTTCCTGTCTGCTCCCATCCTGAAATGGCTGTTTGGATCCAGCATTACCCAGGAGCTCTCACATACAGCTGTCATAAGAATGTGCAGGCACCCAAGCAACTTGCGCTAACTGAAGACAACTTGGGTCCAGTCTCTGGCCGCACCCTACTGGGAGCACATGTGGCCCAGCCAGATAAGAGGTGTTTTTGCCACTGGAGAACCAATGGACAAGACCTGGGTCATCTGTGCCTGCCAAGATTACAGTGGGAAATGGACGGACCATGGCAAGATTTCAGTTTTAGTAACATTGTTATTGGTAATGATGACCAAGAAATTTTGAAATATCAACATCATTTAATTGTGTGTGTTCATATACACTTGGCCTTTCTTTTCCTTTTTTAAATCAGTTTGTCCTCTCATCCTCTCTGAAATAATATTCACAGTCCTGAAGGAGTGTGGTTGTGCACATTTACTCACCGACTAGATCAGTCTGTTTTCACATAGGAGCAATATGCTTTTGTCCAGAAACCTACAGTGCCTACTACAAAGAGGTGCAGTGCTGTGAACCCATTCTGAGGATCTTATTCACATATCCTGAGGAATCCTGGCCCTCATGGGTGGTTTGACAGTCTGTGGCTTTCTTGTTTACATTACCTGTTACCCATTGAGCAACAGCTGTTTGCCTAACAGCTTCTCTTTTTTCACATCAAGGCTCCTGAATCTTCTGCCCAAAATGTTCCTGCCTCTGACCTGACACTGCATTTGCTCTAACCACTGAGGCTATTCAAGGCCAGATCTTCCACTTCACTGGATGGGCAAACTCCCCTTGCAGTCTGCAGACCCTTCTCAGTAGAACATTCTTCACTGAAAGATTTAGTTTAACTGACACAGGTATGCATATACTCTTGTACCCAAAAACCACCACAGGACCTTCTTAAGTTTTCCATAGATGTCTGAGGAGTTTCACACAGCTCTCCTGCCCTAAGGTAGCGCTCAGTGTGACTGGGAGGTAATTTGGCAAAAGTCCTTTCTATCTTAGTTTTACTAGCATAATACCCCACTCTGTGTCTTGGCTATGGACGAATTGGAAGGAAAGAAAGTCAAGTTTCCTAAATTTCCCCTGGATAAGAAAGGAAATACAGATGTGGTGACTAACAAACTGACCTCACTTGGAAAAAACAGCAGCATCTTCCTCATTCATGTCTTCTTCGCTGGCCACATGGCTGGCAAGAGACCAAGGTATTCCTCAGAAGACAGGTGTGTAGCCTTAACACAGGCTGTTGGAAGGCACTGATAAGCCAGGTCTGAGGTAGTGCCAGGTTTTTCCCTGGAGCAGGCAGAGAAGGCGGCAGTATCATGGCATTACTGCTTATCTGGATTCCTCTGCGTAGAGTCTAGAATTACAGCTCCAAGGTTGATATGGTTCAGCATCTTTTTGAATCTGTCTGTCACCTTTACAATTATCATGAAAGACTCAAGTTCTGTAAACCAATTTTAATTCCAGCCCCAAATTAATTGCCTAAGAGCAGAAGGGGGACCCCTGGTGGTCTAGTGGTTAGGATGCGGCGCTCTCACCGCCGCGGCCCGGGTTCGATTCCCGGTCAGGGATACTCCCCCGGGCAGATGGAGCTTGTCAGCCCTGTAAGGCCATCCATCTATGAGAAGGTGACTCTAAACAAACCTACGTCCTGAGGACCTCACTGCCATTGTCCAAGCTCGCTTGGCCCCAGCAGATGAACTTTAGGATTAAAGGGTGGGCTCAGTTCAGCGCAAGCTGTGTCTCACCTAAAAAATCCATTGCACAGGCTTGAAAGGTAAAAGACCTTTCCCAAAATCTTCGTTCGCGAAGACTGGCCATACATACAAGAGTAGAAGACATTGCAGCTGGTACTGGAGAGATTAAAATTGAACTGCTTATCAGCAGGGAAGAGACTGAGTTCATCTAACCTGAGGCACATTAAAGTTGCACATCTAGCATAAGCCATTTGCCTTGGCTCTCCCTCCAGTCAAAGAAGTGACTTCATAGAGTGATTCACTCCATCCTAAGAATAGTGCCTGAGGTAGGTGGGGTCAATCACCCTGAGGAATAGCCTGGCTCTCTCTGTGAAGAGAGTTTTGCCAGACGGCTTTGATGACAAGCCTTTCTTTTAGGTGCTTAAAATTAGATGAAATGAATCCCACTTCAAAATGTTCAAATTCACTGTCTTTCTGAAACAAGGAAGAGCAGCAAATTGCACCTGCAAACAGGTGCTGTTGTAAGTGGCAGCCTTTATTCAACAGAGTAATAATCCTGCATGGATTTCCCAGGGAAGGTGGAGGCTGACTGGAGGCCCAGCATGGTGCAGTCTGGGTCCTTGCTTAGAGGCTGTGGTGAGAGGTGTGAAGCTTTCCTTTTCACCTTTGCTCCTGGTATGGCTCCAGTCCTGATAGCTGCTGATTTGCATTCCTCTCATATTTCCACACCATGCTCTTTAACGTCTCCACTCAGCCTCACAATAAACAAGCTACAAAGAATTGCTATACCCACCTTTTAGATAGGTAAAGCTTAAGCCTCATGACCCTGAGTGCAGTGACAGGCATGATGGCATGTGAAAGTCATCTGAATCATGGCCTTGAGTGCTGGACAGGCAGCTGTGATGGACCATCCTGTCATACAGTCCAGACATGTGATTCCCTGTGGGAAGGTCACCACCAAACATTGACTCTCAGTGTGTCTGTTTCACCTAACTTCACCATGGACTACCCTGCTGAAGGACTTCCAGTAGTTACACCATAAAAAAAATAGCAAAAGGATTAATCCAACAATGTTTTATACCAAGCACAAGATTTGTGAAAAATAAAGTAAACCATGTCGAAAACAAACATTTATAGAGGATTTATAGAGGATAAAATGCTCTCAGGTATGAACTCAGTATCTTTCTTCTCAGGCTGTGGTCTTCTAATGAGATAAGAATATCAAATACACAACAGTGAAATCATCATCTGAATTAACTATATTCATGTCCAGTTTTGTCAATATTTTTTTGTTCAAAGACCTGAGGATGACAGGTATTAGATCCTTTTGTGTGATACCTGTTAAATTTTACTCATGTAAATATTTGCACGTTTAAATCAGTAGCCCTAAATGCCTCCTTTTTTACTATGTAAAGGTAATTTCTTCATAGAGGACAGAATGGTACAAGCAGAGTCCTTGCAATGCCACTCTGGCAGGAAACGAGGCCTGGTACAGCCACGGACAAAAACCTGCCTTTTCAAAGAACTATCAGGATGTTTCTGGTTATCTGATTGCTTGATCACAGGACAAAAGGCTAGTCTGTGCAAAGATTACCCAAAATTTGAATAGAGGCTGATCAATCAATATCTGTTTTTACAGAAGGTCCTGAAGAATTTCTATGTCTGGTGGTCTTTGTATTTCAGGACATAGGTCCTCCAAGAGATTAAAAAAAAGAGACCTCAGAACTGTGTCCTTGGCAGTGCTCCCACAGTTCCTTCTTTCTGTTTTTTCAGAGGAGATAGGAAAGGCCTAGTGCCTCTCGCACAGCCCACATCTGTCTGGAATCATGTGTGATCCCACTTCCCCACAAGCTGCCCTGCAGTGAAAGCAAACCCACTTATTTTTAGCCCTCTTTTCATTCAGGAATACTGGCAAGGCCCCACTGTTTGCCATTTCCCCAGTCTGCACCCTCTAAACTAGGGAATCGGGCCCCTGTGGTAAATATTAGGTGCATCCTGGTGGTAATCATCTCAAAAGGGTCTCCATGTGAACAAGAGGGGCTCTTCTCCATGGTGGATGGGAGGGCTACCTCCATAGGAAGCCATTATGGGCAGGGAGAGGTGGCCCAGGGCTCTAGCAGTGCTGCTCTCTTTGCCCCTGCCATTCTGTGCCCAGCTGCCCCCATCTGCAGCCCGGGGAATACCAGTGTTGGTCCATACAGAGCCACGCAGAAGGTGACATTGAGTTTTAAAATCTTCTCTTTCCTCTTAGGATTCACAGCTCAGACAATAGGAATTGTGTGAAGTTACTCACACATGACTTTGCACGAGTCAAGCAACTTGGGGAGGAAAAAAACCAAAATCCATAAGCATTCATAATCCTTAAAAATATTACACCCACTTGTAGCTGCACAAAGGTAGATTGAAGCAGTCTTTCATATTCCCTATGATTCTATGACCATCAAAGCTTAGCAAGAAAGCAGAGAGGGAAAGTGAGGGGGTGTTTACCTGCAGACAGCAAAAATAGAATGACATTTTTGCAAACTACTTTTCCAGTCTTCCAAGAGTGATTTCTATACAATGTATGATACAGGAAAGAAATCTGCTGGTCCATAGACTTCTGCAGATTATGATCCATCAGTCTTAATTTTTCTCCAACAGATGATGACGGACAATGCATAATTCACCACCTAGTTCACCTTATTTTTAGATGTTGAGTCTATGGCTGCACAGCTTTTACGTTCCTCAGCATTGGTTTGGGGGGCAGGAACAAGATAAACTAAATGTCTGTATAAAAGAATCAGCTTACTAACAGAAACAAGGCAACAGATACATGCATTGGAGATCTAACCTCACTTTCTATTAAGCAGGGTAAAAATATAATAGTAGTCCTTAATCTAAGTTTCTTGTAAGAATCTCTAAGGGCCCGTGACAATGTTGTGATTATTAAAAGTTATTCCAAGTCCGTGCTACCTGAGTTCATCAGTCAAAGGTATTTAGAAATTAGTGTGGGCAAATTTTGGAATGGAAACCTCGGACAGAATCTGAATAGGAATCTCCTTCTGCTTCCAGAGTGGTTGGCTGACTTACCTGGAGGACGTCTTTTGGGGTAAGATATGAATGGACTTAAAAAAGTCAAATACCATCCACCAATAGTGAGGGTAAGCAAACAATGCACTGTAGGAGGTAGATTATGAGTATTGTACTGCTTTTGAAATAGTATGAGATGAGCAGAACTGTGATTTTGACACTGTTTTGACAGGGGACTATTTTGGAGCTACCCAACTACCCCATTCAGTTCAAGACATAGGATGGCTGAGAGTCTGCTAAAACTATTTTTTCCCTAGTTCCCTCTAATAATATGAGCATTTGGGTATAATTTTCAAAGAAGGCCACATACAGACAGGAAGATTTACCCAAGGATGCTGGTAAAGAGACATCACAGTCCTTATGGAAGCCTCAACAACTGAAATGCAGTTTCAAAACAACCTTTATTCTGCTTGAAGACTTATTACAATTTTTAAAGCAACCCAAAAACAAGACACAGCTCCATCAACTCTACAGCTTGAACAAAACTTCGAGGAGGCATGTTTTCACAGTTGCCTTGTAAAGGCAATTTACAACCTGCTTTAACCTTCACCTCCTAAAAGACAATTTTAAAACAAAGTAATCTTAATATTTTAAAGACATTTAACAGAACAGAGCTTTATTTTTAAAAACAAGAATAAAAAAGAAAATAGCAGCATCTTGGGCAGCTAATGCAATCTCATCAGGACAAGTGCAATGTAACATTACCAACTCCCACAGTTTAGTCTCAACTGCAGTGAACACCACGATTCTACAGAAAATGTTGCACTTTAGAACCTTGTCCCATGGGAGGCATTGTGCTTTGAGCTGCCCATTTCTAAAGTGATCCTGAAAAAAATCAGTATCAGGACTCACTTTCCCAACTTAATACCATGCATAGCAAAAGCACTGTGTGAAAATTGGCAGAAGTTTTCCTCATTAGAAGCATCTGAATGTTTTCCCAAGCATTATTATTTCATTGCCAATTACAAGACAAAGCCATTTCTCACTAGAGAACAGCTGACATCAAATAAAAAAGTTGAAGATTTGGTTTTACAGATTGCTTGACAAAATTTCTTAGATAATGGAACTATACAGACAAGCTTGGTTTGAGGTTTTTTTGCCTTTTTTTTGCTTTTTTTAAGAAACTATCTAACAACACAGAAACTCAGTTTTCTAACTGTATCTGGAAACATGCTGCACCCACAAAGGTCTAGTGTGCATGTGTGCGTCTTTAAACAAAGTTAATGACATCACTTACGGAATTCAGCAAAATTATCATGTTCTGAATGAAAGGTGAAAGTGCAGCTATACTGGGATCTGTTCACACATTAACACAGCGAGTGTGCACCTGTGTGCGCAGATACATATCCCCAACATGCAAATTCAAATTTCAACTTAAGTAAATCAGAAACTACTTATTTTGCTTGGGAGTTTTGGTTCTCTTTGCTATGTCTCATACCTTTCAAAGGTCTTGTGAAAGAGATGCTGCAGTGCAGCATACCTCAGGAATTTAAAACAAAACAAAAAATTCACCCCCCCCCCAAAAAAAAAGGTAACAAAACAAACCCCTTCCGTATATTATATTAGTTGAAAAAGCTACACATCAACAGAAGTACAGAAAAAAAACCTCTGTGTTTCTTCAGTTATATCCCCATGCTTTTTTCCCCCGTATATAGTAGTCTGTTTGAGATCAAATCAAAACTGGAGTGAACAATATGGTACATTAAAGACAAACAACTCTGCAGTGAATAGGGCCTTTGGCAGGATTTACCTTTGTGCATTAAGGAGGGAGAGAAATGCAGAGGCCACACAATATGTAAGTACCAAATAAAACCCACTCATGCCAATTTGAGGGACTTAACTGATCCCTGCAAATTGCATAGACCCTGTGTAGGCAGAACATCTCTTTAAGAAGCCCTAAGCACTCATCCTTACAACACAGTCCTTATTTCTCACTGTTGCTTGTGCAAGAAAAGCAAGTGCCAAATCTCATACACACTATTTTTTTTTTCTCCTACAGCCACACATGAAGAGAAGTTGCACAGCAAACAGGAATTATGTTTCCATACAGTATGGAATTATATTCCATACTGGGCAGGGCATGCTAAGGATATGGCCCACTGACATAGCAGGGGTTTTCTTAATATGAGGAAAATTAGATCTAAATGCCTTAACTATGATAAAATTTCTTGACAAAAGCTGCGTGAAACATCAATTCGGATTACATATATTTTGCCTACAGAGAAAAAAATACAATTTTACTCTTAAAATATTTAACATTCAGAAATTAATATACGACCAAAGAATATCTTGGATGGCTATAAGTGTTAAACTGCTGTATATTGAACTAATCTGTAACTTGAAGCCCAATAGTATAACTGGCATGCTAGAGTAATTGTTGGTGCTTTTCACAGTAAAAACCAGTTATTGGTATACCAAATTTACACGGTCCTATAGGCCTGAAGAGAGTGTGGAATGAGGAAGGGAAGGGATGAAGATTCTACTTCTATTCAGGAAAAATATTCAGAATAATTTTCTAAGTGATGACTATCATGAAACATTAATATTTGTTGAATCGTGTTTCCTGATATAAATTCTAGTAAGAAAATACACCTATAGGAAAGCAAAGACAACCCACCAAAAAAAAAGAGTACAAAATCAAAATAAAATCAAAAGCCTTATAGCGTCAGAACTGAAGTAGCAATTTCAAAATGAAATGATAATATAAAGATCATTGGAGACTAACAAATTTCCTCTTATTATTTCCAACAGCTTATAAAGCCCTGCATATTTAGAAATAAAACACAAGTATCTCTAAACCAGAGCTCTTATGGGAGAACTCCATGGGTCTTGCTCTTTTGATTGTGTGTGTAACTCTCTTTAATGGTAATGGGTATTGCCTTTTTTAATCTTGGGGGAAGAATAAATTCATATGTTCACTTAGTCAAATCTTTTCCAAGATTTCTCTAAAGTTCGTTACTTTATCAATTTGCAATGTGTGAATTTCCTCAGTGGTCAGGACAATAAGTAACCATTGCAAACCAGACAGTGAATTATCCCAGAATTACTAATAAATCTGGTTTAGTAGGATTCATGTATTTGTTTTCTTTAACTGAACCATAATTATGTAAGTCTCTGGTGTCCTGAAGTTATGGAACTGTTCACTTTGATACTCCCTCAGCCTACAAACTTCTGAAAGTAAGTATCATAGCTTAATCATTTTCAAAAAAAGACATATTCCAGTCTTAATTAGCTCTATATTGTATCCAAACATTCTCAGTAGAGGTGGAAGATTTTTTTTCCCCATAATACTAATACAAAAAAGCCCCTAGGAAACGGATTAGAGAAAGTTCCTTCATATGAAATGAAAATATCTTTACATGCTGACAAAAATGCTGCCACAGGTCAAGAAGTCATTTATTTACTGTGAAAGGTGGATTCATTCTGAGATCTAAACTATCTACACTCTACACTGCAGTAGCAAAATATCCCCATTTTTTTCTGCAGTCACTATCAAAGAAGGATACACTATTTGTTTTTTGTCTTCCAAATACAAAGACAATTGTGATAAAAGTTCAAAATGCTTCAAGAAGCAAATGTAGTATGGTACCGTATTTTAAAGATATCTCTGAAACAGTATTGTTGGACTCAGTGATATTTCATAATGTTCATACATTTTTTTATTGAATAAAGCAGCTTTGAAGCTTATCAGGCACTGCCCAACAAATATTTCGTCAAAAAAAATTTACGAACTTTTTAAACTTTGAGCTAGTAGCTCAATATTCTATTTTTCTAAAGAAAATTGTAAAATATTTCATAGTTTTAATTCTCAAGCCAACCCTTGCTGGCTTCCTGTACATTAAAAAAAAAAGAAAAACAAACAAAAACTCTCAAAAAAAAGGCAAGTCCCATGAAACAAACAAACAAGAAAATCAGTAACAAAAAATAATCAGGAAAAATACTCTCAGGCAAAAGAAACAACAAAAAAAAGAAGACAAGGAAACAAGAAAGAAAAAGAAGCCTGTAGATATGCTTGAAAGAAGACTACTGCCTAAAGAAAATTCAGTATTGCATAGCATGGTCTAAGAATTCAGCTTTCAGCAAACAGAAAATGGAAAAAGAAGCAGTCTGGTATTGACAGTTTCCATCAATGATAGTTAGTCATCCAATACTATGTACATTATTATACACTGTATGCCACCGAGCATCCTGTTTTCTTCAGTCTTAAATATATTCTTAAAACAGGATTTTTAATCATCTAAACAAAACGCTTCCTGGCACTTCGCTATTACAATTACTCTGAACAACATACTGTAACTGAAGTCCTTTTAAAGTGTCCCTTAGAAATGAAAGTGCCATTCATTCTGCTACATATCATTCACCAGAAACCAAAAAAATCCACAATGCTGTGTGTCTGGATCCACTGAGTGCAGCAACACCATTCCAAGTTAGGTTGTGACCACGAAATTCCAATAACTGAATGACACAGACCTCTTATACCTTGTGCCTGGATAATCCAATGTTCTAGTTGGTAAAGCTTCAGAAGTGGTCGTAAACAAGCACCATGCTTAAAGGCCTCTATGTCCCTGCAGGGAGATCAGGTTTGGATTTTTCTCGTGTTTTTCTTTTCTTAATTACAAAAAAACCAAAAAGCACTTCAGATTGCAAACATACATTCACAGCTTACTACTGTGATCTCTCGCACCGCAGTTGTGAAGGAAATCTCTAGTCCTATCTGAAACAGCTTTGATACTGCAAATTCTTGAGTAAAGCTGAAAGAAACCTTTTCTCTCCAGAGGCCTCAATGTTGTCAAATCATTTCTTTAGAAAAAACCAAACAATCCGCAGTATTAAGATGTTCATCGCCTCTGCTGTGCATATACTGGGTAGGCTAGTGTGACATTGAGAGAGTCATTGTGCTGCACAAGTGATGTGTGTTGATAATGTAGCACCAGTTCTTTGAGCGAGTTGTACAAGTTATATGGCTCTGCAAATCCATACCCAGTAGGTGTTTTGTTTATCACACAGTGCTTTACTTCTCCATCCACCCTAAAAAGGAAAAAAAACAACCAGTATTTAATTTGTAAGTACA